GAGGATCACTTGAGGCCAGGAGTTCGAGACCACCCTGAACAAGAGCAAGACACCATCTTTACAAAAAAATAAATAAATTAGCCAGGTGTGCCTATAGTCCCAGCTACATAGGAGGCTGAGGCAGGAGGATCACTTGAGCCCTCAAGTTTGAGGTTGCAATGAGCTATGATCATGCCACTGCACTCTAGCCCAGGCTACAGAGCAAGACTCTGTCATGCAAAGAAACTCTCTAGCTGAAGTTAGCTCGGTCTACAGTTTGATCTAACAGTTTGTCTTAACGGGAATGAAGGTAACTTCGTTTCCTATGCTATGTATCTTCTGTAATGTGTGAACTTTACTTTTGAAATCAAATAGTTTCAAAACATGGAGACAATCACTGGTTACAACAAATTGCAAAGGGGCTGCAAATTCTTTTACTGGACTAGATTTTAAAGCATGCAACACATGAGCCATCTGCTGGGGCTTAGAAATCTTGTTGCAGAGGTCTTTCTTACAATGGAATTTCACCCGTAGGTTTTATTAAGTCTACCACTTAAGCAAGGCAGTATCTAGTCCCTTCTCCAGTGTTCTTTCTACCTATGGAGTTCAGTCCTGCAGAGTGCCAACTCCTGCAAAAGGGGACCTGACGCAAACGGCACCCCACAGCCCCTTTTCGCTTGTGAACCAAAGAGCAGAGTACTAGATTACTCTATCCACTTTGTTCAGACCCTTCGTCATACCTCGAATGTACCGATTCTTACCAGGAAAATGTAACAGAAATGTGAAAATTAACTACCAATAGTCACAAACATTTCTTTGAAAAATGAGGCCCCTTAATTACAAATATTGAAAAGCCGATTTAAAAGTGAATTTAAGGAAGGCAATATATGTAACCAAAACATTTGTACCCCCATAATATGCTGAAATTTTAAAAAAGTGAATTTGAGGGGTGCTGGGAAGAAATGAGAAACAACTGCTAACAGATAAGGGTTTCACTCTGGAGTGATGAGAATGTCCTAAAATCGATTGTGGTGACGTCTGCATAACTTTGTGAATACACTGAAAACCACTAAATTGTATACTTCAAGTCAATGACTTGTATGGTCGTGAAGTTTATCTCAATAAAGCTATTATCTTAAAAAAAAATGATTAAAACATGCCAAATGTGACAAAATATTGAAAACTACTGAGTGTAGGTGAAGAGTATATATTATGCACTGTGGTGTTCTCTTTATTTCTGCAATGTTTGAAATTTTTCACATTTTTTTTAACGTTTCAACTTTTTTGATAATTGTACTTATGGAATAGAAATGTCCTCTGACCTGTATGCATTCAGACAGGCTGAACATAATTGTTTCCTGTCTGAAAAATAGCTCCATTTTCCATATGTGCGTTTGCTTTCTTAGGAAAATAGTTTCAACTGGTGGTAATCCCATCAATCTTTTAAAAACTAACTGCTCGAATTTCTAGGTTTTGGGGACAATGACAAGTTGTTCCATTTAGGAACCCAATCTCACAAATCAAACATTTGAAAGTTTGAGGATTTTGTTCAATAAAGCTAGGCAAGGTTAGTCATTGGGTTTTCCTTTTTTTATCTAAGCCCTCAGAGTTCCTTTCAGAAACTACACCATATCTCAGGTGTGCTCACTGTCATTTAAACACATCTAAAAACTTAAAAGCAATCTGATTTAGTGAAATGGTCTATCTCAAGTTGTTAGGATATGTACTTTAGAAGAGCACTGCTCAGATCTTTTCGCTGTTCTTCTCAAATAACACTCAGTGCTTTACACATGTGTTACTTCACTTAATCCTCCAATCCCATCTATGTTGTTACTCCATGGAGAATGTGCAACAAAGAGGTTAAATCACTTGTCCAAGGTCACAAAGATAGCAAATAATAGAACCCGGGTTTGAACCCAGAGTCCCACTGGGTTCTCCAGCACCACCCAATTGACAATTGGAACTGAACTTGGGGGACTAGAAAGCTTCTCTTACCTGTGTGAGTTCTAACATGCTGAACATAATTGTTTTTTCTGTCTGAAAAATAGTTGCATTTTCCACATGTGTATACTTTTCTTGGAAAATGGTTTCTCAAGTGTTTCCTCCAGTGATACTCGCTTACTGTTGTATATGTACAAATGATGCACTTGTAGACTCGCTCATTATCCCCAGCTCTGGTATGGTGTTTCAGGTGTGCAGTATAGTGATCGTATCGATTGGTATTGTAGCCACAGCGGTCACAGCGAATGGGGCCCTTGGAGAAATCTCCCTCTTCTGGAGTGGAAGAGCCAGATTCCCTGGCTTTTGCTTGCTTCTCTGCACTTTCCTCCACAAAAAATTTCTTGGCACTGTGAACTCTGATGTGATGCACAAACTGTTCTTCAGATTCTGCCTCATACTGGCATGGCTTACAGCGAAAGGGTTTGGTCTTCAAGTTCTTGCATTTGTCCTCTCCTCCAGGTGTTTCTGGAGGAAGATCTTTATTTGAGTTGTAAACTTCTGAGGCAGCTGATGCCTCAAATACAGGCTGAGGTTCTACAACACTGAGTTCCAAATTTCTCAGTTCCATGTTTTCCAGTCCATTAGGTTCACCTTTTATTTCAGGAGACTCCTCAAGTCCTTCTCCATCACTGTCTGAAAAGTTGTTATCCCCAACAGGCATCAATTCTGCCATCTGTCTTTCTTCACCAACCAGGTAATCACAGCAGCTGCCATTTACTTCCCCAGTTAAAGCCACATTTGCCAGCATGATAAGCTGAGGTGCAGCCAGTTCGGCTTTGGAGAGGTCATGCAAGTCATACATGTCGTTAGGCAACGCCATGCCAATACTGCCACTGCCAGTGAACAGCCCTCCTCCTCCAGAAGACTGCCCCATTACCTGGGTGGCCATAACTGTATTCTGAATTTTGAAAAACAAAACAAAACACAAGAATACCAGTTTAAACACAACTTTTACTGGCCAAAGCATCATTGTAATTCTTCACAACTTAAAAAAAAATACTTCTCAACACAACCTTTAAAACTCAATAAGCTTCATTAACTACTAATGACAAACCTTTAAAATATTTGTGTTAATTCCCAGTTCTCTTTACAGCAGTTACCAAAAAAATTTCTACTACCCCTAGAAAAAATTCTGCCAATTGTTTGACAACTCATTCATCAACTAGGTCTACCACCGGCATGCAGTCCCTAAAGCACTTTTAATTGTTGTGCTAGGTGAAAAAAGTAACCTGCATTTTTAATGTTAATTAAAATTATTTTAAAAGTTCAATACATGAGTAATCCAACTTCCCCTCCACCTTCATCAGTTCCATGGTCTGAATCAGAAAGCCCAGAAATCCACAAGCCTGAGCATTTATTAAGTACACAAACACATTAGGAAAGTAGAAGCCTGTAATAATTGTTCAACTTAACTGAATTTCATATGAACTTGACTAACTCTAAAAGATAAAACTATTGTTGAAAAAGTGCAACTTGGTCCCTCTTAATTTTTCGATGACTCCACTGATTTAAGAGAAAAAATATTATGGACCCCTTTTCCTGTGAAAAAGGAAGTCTGGTTTATTCAAAACTTCACAAGTAAAGAATTTTTTTCAAACCGTCTAATAAAATAATCGTACAACCCAACTCGACAATCAGCAATTTTTTTGCATTGTACTTGTTTTGGCCTACTTGCCTAGTGGAAGCCATTACAAGATCACCTTCTTGGAAAACAAGCTGGGCTTTTTCAATGATCTTAACCACGTTCCTTTCCAATCTAAAAGGTACTATTCTCAAACTAAGTGTTCTCTTGCAAATTAGAAAAAGCAAAATAAGTGACAGATACTAAAAATATCAAGTTAACCCAAAAATACAAAAAGTAATCCGTTTCACCCAAGTGTATAAACACAAACCGGTTTAGTTCTAAGCACCAACAAAAGTTGGAATCAAATGCCATCACAGAACACAGAAGGCGAAAGCTGTCCTAGGGCTTAACAGCCCAAGCTACTCGGTAATTTACCCCAACATCGACTTTTCTACTGCCCCCACCCCCCAAACCCTACCACCCCTAAAGGAATGTTCACATTTGTCAGGAAGGCCGTCCAAGCACAGCCCGAAAGCGCAACGTGTTGCACGAATTCCTATGTGCTGCTGCCACCAGCGCCTACCTCGGCGGCGGCATTCCTAACTGAAATAGGCATTCGGCCATTTTCTCAAAATACCAAACACAAAGCAGCTCTTTGCAAACTCGGGCGCTCTCGCTTCCTCTCGGCTCGGCCCGCTCACCGCGCACGTCTACACACCAACTCTCGGGAGTTGCCCCAACTCTCGTCTTAAAGCTTTTCCCGTGCTCCCCACCACTAAAACGGGGGGAGGTGAGCAAACTCGAGGCGCCGTTGCGCCGGAGCGAGTCTTGCCCGAGTCCAGGCAGCCCCCTCCCCGGCCCGGGGACACGAGTCTGGAGAAAGGACGGAAAGTTACCGCGTAGCCGGGGTCCGGGCCCCTCCGATCGCCCCAGGACCCCTCCGACGCCCCCCCCACCCCGGGACTCGCCCTCGCGGAGGGCCGGGAGACACCACGGGCGCCCTCCGGAGGCGTCGGGCCCCGAGCGCCGGAGGGGGCCCCCACGCGGGCCAGCCGCCGCCCCCGCGCCCCGGAAGTTTGCGAACTTCACTCCCCCACGGCGCCCGGCCGGACGCGCGCGGTGGGGTGGCCCGGCGCGAGGGCGGCGGCGCCGGCGCCGCCGGAGCGCAGAAATCGCTGTCCAGCCCCGCTGGCGGAACCGCCCGGGCCCCTGGGCTGACTCAACCAGCCCGGCCGCGCTCAACGGCGCCTTCCGGCGAAAGGGAGAGGCTGGGGGGAGGGGGTCGGGAGGGCCGCGGGCCGGCGCTGAGCTGCGGTGGGACCTGAGGGCAGGAGAAGGAAGAGGAGGAAGTTTCAGGACTAGGGCCCCGAGCAGCTCCGCTCTTTGGCCTCAGAAGACCGGACTCGGAGGGGCGTCCGGGCCCGCGCAGAGGCGGCCGCCCGGCCTCCACTGGGGATGGGGTCCCGGCGACGCGCCGCTCCCCACGAACGCCCCCGGCCCAGCCCCTGGGCCGCGGCGGTGTAACCCGATCCCGCTCGGCCGCCCGCCCCCGCCCGGCGCGGCGGCCGCCGCCGGAGCCACAGTATCTGCAAATCAGCCCTGGACAGCGCCTCGCTCCGCGTCCTTCCGCGCCCTCCCCCTCCCGCCGCCACCGCCACCGCCACCGCCTGGCCGGCCCTCCCCCACCCCGACCGAACCCCCAGGCCCGCGCCGGGCTTACCGGCCTTCCCGGCGAGGCGGGGCGGGCTACCCGGCGTCGCCGCTCCTTCTCCGACTACTTTTCTTTTGTTGCTGGAGTTTCAGGGGAGGGAAGGGGGAGGGTGGAAAAGTTGGGCGCTGGGGCCGTCAAGGCCCGCGAAGGCCCAGGAGTGGAGCTGCAGAGGGTGCTCAAGCCACTGGCCCTAGCCCAGCCTTCCGAGCCGCCGGCGCCGCCGCCGGGGTCTGGGGCCCGGGGCCTCGGCGGCGCTTGCTGTGGTGCTGCGCCGCGAGCTCGCGGGAGCCGCACATTCCAGCACAGGACGCTGCGCCGCGCACCCGGCCCGCGCCGCCGCCGCCGCAGCCGCCGCCGCCCGGGGACACGCCCCCTCCGCCGTCCGCGCGCGCCCGCGGGACACGCCCCCTCCGC